CGGGCTTGGTCCTGGGGATTAAGAGAAAGGAGGGAGGGGGAAAAGGGAGGGGAGGGAGGGGGCGGAGGAGAAAGGGGGACGGTCCTTCCCAAGCCGGTGTTGAGTTTCAGTTCAGGACCCTCGGGCCCAGCTCCACGACCCCTCCCGGGCCCTGTCCCCGGCGCCTGCTTCCGCCCGACTTGGCGACAGACCTCGCGGTGGTCTGGTGCACTCCCTCCCAGGAGCTTTCCTCTCCCCGCCACGCCCCCGCTCTCTCCCGCCAGCCCCGCGCCTCTCCCTGCCCCCCTTTCATGAGCCCCACATCTGTCTTTCCCGGGGGAGGGAGCGCGCTCCTTCCGCCCTGCTGGGGTCCCTGGCGGAGCGTCTCCGCTCCTTGGTGCTGCAGAGCTGCAGGGGTGGTGGGGTTAGCCGGGCCGTTCCTGCGGGGGTCGGGCCAGGAGTCTGGCGGTGGACCTGGATTCTGGCCCCGGGCGGGAGAACATGAAGCCGAAGTGTCTGGTCCCAGAGCTGCAGGCGCGCGGTGAGGGGGGGAGGGCGAGGCCTCGCACACGCCTCTGCCAGTCTGGGCCTGTCGGCTTCCTCAGCCTGGCTCACTCTTGGTACTCTCAGAACCAGGATTGGGGACTGCGGACACGAAAGAGGAGGAGTTGGGATTCAGCTCCCCGCCCCAGGAGTTGCAGCTGGAAAGCTGGGCTCTTAACCTCTCCTCCTTCCCCCCTTTGTTACTCCTTAGTGTATACTGCTTCCCTCCAGCCTCCCCTTCCTGGACCTTCCTTTTGGGGTACACATCAGGACTCTCAGGCTTGAGGGAAGCCTGGCTTCTTCCATTTTTGAGCTGCTTCTTTTTTTTTTAAAGATGCCAAACAGGATTGAAAAGCTGTAGTATATATATTTCCATGTTTACATTTAACAAATTAACTCTTCAAACACGTATGATAGAGGTTGACACTTCCTAACCTTATGTGGATATGATCAGAAGTCTAATTTAAAGCTCTGTGTGAACCTGAGACCTTGGACAGATACTAACCGCCCCCCCCCATATTCCACAGGTCCACACATCCAGGCATTTCCTAGGACTATGGGGTGGGGGCATCTGCCCCAGCTTCTTTCTGACCCATTGCTTGGGCACCTATGAAGAACCCTCTGCGGAGAGGAGGGGTGCAACCTCTGAGGTGGAATAGGGAGAGATTTTGGTGAACAGTATTGGCTCAGGGCTTGGCTCTCAGGATCAGAGTGCAGATCTGGGCATGGGGCTGGGAATCCTGAAGGCTTGACTCCACTAGGATGGTAGGGGAACCTTAACATTTCCAGGGAGAGCGCTCCCTTCCCAGCTTCAGTCTGGTGGGATGTGGCTACTAGGGAAGACTTTCCAGCCTTCTCCAGATCCCAGCCCTTGGGGGCCTGGCTGCCTGGCACACAGATGTTCAGCCACTGGAGGGTGACATAGTATGGTCCCTGCCCAGGGGATGGCCAAGGGGACTGCCAAGGCAAATTGGAGTCCAAGGTAGAGGCAGGCAGGAAACTTTGTTCCCAAAGATGAATACTCCTATGGGTACAAGGGAAAATAGATGGAGGCCAGAAAAGTTGCTAAGCGAGAAAGAAGCTGCCAGGTACCAGGCAAGGTGGTGCCTTGGGAGACGGGCAGTGGGGCTCACTCCCTGGGGAAATGTAGGTGAGGGATGGCAGAAGACTGTTGTTCTGGAAGGCCCAGTTTGGAATGGAGCCAGTCAGACTTGGGAGTGAATCCTGTTTAATTAGCTGTGTGACCTTGGCCCCGTTATATCACATCCTCATCTGTAACAGTGACTTTGGGGAGAAGCAAATGTATGTAGAGCACCTAAGCACAATGCTCTTCTTCCTTGGTTTTTCCTCTTTACCTTGGCTTCCTTCTAACTTATGCTTTTCTGAAAGCTGAAAATGTTTCTTGTTGAGGGCAGGAGCTTCTTCCCTGTCCTTGTTCCCTTATATCTGCCCCTTCCTTTGCAAACAGAGGTCTAGGGCAATTCTGGGTTGTTCAGGGAGAGCTTTAGGCTCCATGTTAGGTTGGAGAAAAACCAGGCTGGGCGGGTAGTTGAGACCCCAGGTGAGTTAGGGCTTTCAAGGGTTGGCCTTGTCATTTTCAGGGACAAGAAAGGAAGGAATGCCTTCATCTGGCTTCTTGGATTCCAGTCTTTTTTCTCATTCTTTTTCCCTTTTCTGCAGAGTCCAACTAGCCGGTCTCTTTCTCACCCAACCCCAAGACTTCCTGGACCTTTTCTTGTTCTTCCTGCTACCCAAAACTTCTTAGGTGCTCTCTAATTCTTCCAGTCCTCCTCTCTTTGGATCCATAACACCCAGATTGCCTGGATTGTAATTCTGGTTCCACCTTGATCTAGTGACCTTGGCAAGCTACATGACCTCTTTAAAAAAATTTTTTTAAATTTTAAAGATGTGGGGTACAATTCAGGGTTAGGTATACAAATGTTCATTATGCATTTACCCTTGTTGATAAGGTGTGCTCCCTTTCCCCTGGCAGTTTCCCACTACTGCCAATCCCATCTTCCTCCCCTGGCAGTTTCCCACTACTGCCAATACCTTTTTTAGAGTATTATGATAATTGTTCAAAGTCTGCTTATGAGTAAGAACAAGTTTTGTTTCTGTGATAGATCACTGAGTATGATAGGCTCTAAATCCATCCAAGTTGCTGCAAAGTTCATATGGCTGCAAAATATTCCATTTTTATGGCTTCTTCTTTATGGCTGCAAAATATTCCATTTTTTTATCCAGCCCAGTTTCGATGGGAGCATGGTTGGCTCCTTGTTTTTGCTATTGTGAATAGTGCTGCAATAAACATGCATGTGCAAGTATCTTTTTGGTAAAATGAT